CACCCTGAGGCAGACCAGTGCTGCATCTCCAGTTAGTTAAGAATACCAAAGACAGAAGCTCACTGATTGTGGGTGAAGCAGCTCCACATAGACCTGAATACGAAAAAGACCTGAACGATAAAAATCTATTGCAAAACAGTCTTGATTCTGAAATCTAATCCCTGAATCTGTATTTGAGCATTTGTTTTTCCCTAACAGGCAGCATAACATCACAATACAATTATTTTCAGGGACCCCCCAGAATTTGATTTTGAGACATTCATGGTGTCCAACAGGTTAATTATGGGGTCCCGGACCGCTCAGGACCCCCTGTATTTTGCATCTCTGGTCATATGTACAAGTTGTATTTTAGAACAGCTTTGAATGGAGCTCTGCCAATCAGATGTATTAGATTTAATAAATAAAGGCTTGTAATATTCTTCCACCAAAAATTTTGTTAACTAACAGCTAATTAATTAATTGTTGCTGAGCAACATTAGTTTTTAATGACATGCTCTAGCAATACAAAATTCAATGTATGCATGCAATAATATGTATGCAGGTATTTTATAGTGGCTTAATAGTGTCTTTAAATACATTTTTACATCATTTATGTGTAGTATTTGTTTTTATATTTCAACAGCTCTGAATGTCTACAGTCTGGCCCTATAATGACACTGTTAATTACAAATCAAAGACTGTAAAAAGGACTCAAGGTTTGGATTTGAAGATCTCTGCCACAGAACAACTACTTTTGGTAACATTTGGTAACACTTCATATGAATCCTGTATTCATAATGCTTTATAAATGCATTTTTATGGCATTACCATATATAACATCTTATAATACTGGGCATATGCTTGTGTAATTATATAAAGTAGTAATAATTAAATGCACAAGAATTTAAAAAGCAAGAATATTTGACTTCATAAGGTCAGGTCCCATGTCTTCCATAGATGCTGGGGGCGGAAGTGATTATGCCCCGTAAAGTTTACCTGAATACTGCTCTGCTGTGATGCACAATATATACCTTGGTATAGTGTGTTATTTAACAAGCATTTACGTTGACAATGTTCTTATGAATGCAGATTATCGTGTGTTATGAAACCTGACACTGTAAGGCTATATACTGTTGTTTTATGCATGTTATGCATGTAACTTTAACTACTTATAAGCAATTATTCAAGGGTATGCCAAGCATGTTCGCCATATTAACACCTATCAACACCTTAATATAAATTCAAGGAATACAGGATCCATTGGAGGTGTAACCAAATATCTCCATTTCTGATGGACCATTCATGTTGTAGATGAACGTCTGGTGATGCTTGAGCCTGGACAAGATTCATGACAAATTGCAGCGTATGGCTGGTATGTAATTTTAAGAACAGAACGACAATATCTACATGCAACGTCACACATGAACACGCTCAGCCTTCAGGAGAGAGTGAAAAGGGGCTAACAGCCTCGCGCGTCACATTTAATTGGCCGACTCGCCTGTTTCTGAATGGTGACTTGTAAAAGATGTCACAGTGCGTTCAAACCTCAGACTGATGAAGGAGGAATGTGGCTATTTTAAAGCCTCGGCACGTGTCCTCGTTTTTACTACACACAAAAGCATTAAAACCAATCCATCATTTTTCTGTGTACAAAAAACAGTGTTGTGTTGATTTAAACTAATGACATTGACCATTTTTTACGATGTCGGCAGACTCTTAATGCAGATCTGTTTACAAAAGAGCTCTGGTTGTTAGCGTTTTGTTTACGGGACAGAAGGGGAATATTGCAGAGTCGGCAAATGTGACAAGGTACGCATTAAAGTTCCTGTCAGATCTCTCGCTTTTATATCCCATGATGGGAACGTTTGATGTGCAGAACAGACACAACCACACGGATCTTTAAGTCTTTCACTTTCAAGGTCAAGATCATCAGCTATTTCAGCGTCTACCATTCACATCTTAAACAATAACAAAGAAGGGCAGATAGAATCATTAGCAAGTTTCTACCAAAGCTGCGGTTGTATCTGAAATTCATATGCCAGCGTTCCTTGGCCTCCTCGACCTACAGTGTGGTCTCATGCTTTCCCTGCGACAAAGCACAACTGGCCTTATAAAGTGTTGAGGAGAGTAATGCTGTCTTTTACAGTCCACCAAGTTCTAAGTGTTAACTGGGTAAGTGTGACTTACAAACTATAAAGTACTAGGAAATTATTTTGGGTAATATGATGGTAAGTTCCAAGGCAATACCTAACAGGTTCTAGCAGATAAGCAGATAAAGGAGATAAAATATTGTGGTGTCGGCACAAAGTAAGCCACAGGGGAAGCCGTAATTTCTCCCAACAAAATACCTAACAGGTCCTAGCAGATAAGTAGATAAAGGACATAGTAAAATATTGTAGTGTCGGCATAAGACAGAGAGGAGGCCATGATTTCCCCAATGAGAAGTGCTTTTTATTAAACACCAGGGCAGAAAGGCACTTACAGAACCACGAACCCATGATTGAGGTCACTATGGATGGGCCCACCACGAGCCTCCATGCTTAGCTGCTTGCATGGCCACGGCTCCTGAGCTTCTCTGAGGCAAAGCAGCCAGTAGTGGGTTGCTACAATATTTAATAATTGGATGATTATTTGAAATAACAAAGTGGTGCAAACCAGTTTCACTAAATTTCACTGTATTGTCACATGTTCAACCAAGTCCTCCTATCCTGTAGTTACATGGGGTTAAAAGGTGTAAAAGGATACAAAGGTACAAAGATATAGTCTTACATAGTATGTACCTCTATTACCTAGGACAAAATGGGAACTGAATCTGGGCTGTAAAAGTAAAGCTTATACTATAGTTCTAGTTCTGAAGAAGCACTCCAGAGGCATATACTTGAATATAGGGGCAAATAACTAAATAACGCATGACCAATGAGGACCCAAGCTGGTGAGCTGAATCATATGTCCATGATTATACTATACTATAAATGAATACTCTACTATATTATACCATAAATGGATAATCTGTTGACTATTATTTAACTTATCAACTAATACAACCCTTATGCCCTCATGTTTTCTGTATCACACTGCCACTATCATTCAAGTTCAATCTGTACAACTGATTTCTTCTTTAATGCTGCAGAAAAACACAAGAAGCCATATCTCACTACCTACATTTTCTTCTAGTGTACTGCAGTCTGTTAGAATATTCATGTTATATAAAAATTGTAGAGCAAAATAGAGCATTTTTGGTTGTAAGTAAATGATGACTTTTTCCCATAAAAACAACTGGTCAACGCAGCTTTAGTCAACAACAGGGAAAACATGAACCAGTTCCAAGGATCCCCAGGAATGAAGCTAAATCATTCTTTTCTACATTCATTCCAAGTGCCAACATTAGAATACTGAAATCACTATTTGTGTATTTGTTATGCTGCACCACAAAAAGTCAATGAGAAAATGTACAGACCAATAATTTGGAGAAACGCTGTGATGTTTGACTTGTGTTAAAGATGAAGTAAGTATATCCATTAAACTTCACTACAATGAAACTGGTAATGGATTACTGACCAGGCCAGTGTGGCCAGCGCCCCGAGGCTTCTGACTGCCAGAGGCCCAGACCACAAGACGACTCAAATACTTGAGACAATCCACTACTCGACTTGAACAAATAGCCCTTCAAAATGCATTTTTGCAATATGACACAGGTTGGCTTGAAAAAGAAATCATGATTGAGATTATTCAACCTTACACTAACAGCACAATTTGTAACTGTGTAGACACAATAGGATACTGCACATCAATAAGGCTGACTGTGTTAATGTTCAAGAAACAAAACTATTTGCATGACTTAAAGACGACATACACATGAATGTGAACTATGCTTTAATCTCGCTTTGCGTTTTTTTTATTATTATTATTTAAATGCATTTATTATGTGCTATTGTTGAAGTGTAGGGAGCCTCCAAAGACATTTGTGCCCAGAGGTCTCACAAGACTATGATACGTCCCTGAATGAAACAGTTACTTACTGTGAGCGCATTGCCAAGGATGTGATTGAGAATGCAGAGCTAGAGCAGCTGTAACTAGGGTAACTACTCTAGCTGGCATTAGCAAGAACCAAAAACAAATGATATTTCTTTGTTCTCAGTGTTACCTCATCAAATATTTTGGTATATCATCCACTGAGGAGGAAAATACATTGTGTAGAAGATGACGAGTCATTACCATCTACCGCTGCATACAGTCAGCTCTAGTGTTAGCGTTAACTCATTGACTCATCTGAAGGGGCAGGCTCTGTTACTTGAATGCAGTGACCACTTGGATATTTTTGAATAATAAGACAATTTTTAAACGTACACCTCTGCAAGCTGCTAAATTTATATTCAGACTACTGATTTGTCATCATGCTATTGCATCAGTTTCCTTGTTTGTGTATTATGATAATTTAACACCAGGCGAAAAAAGCCTGTTCCTTCTCCATGGTTAACCAGACATCTGTTTACTAACTCTTACAGATGCTCAAATTCCAAAATTACTCAGAATGCACTTCACTACTATACAGTTAGATGTAGCCCATCTGTCGATCCACAGTTAGTGTTAGCCATCTTCAAGGCCTTCATTTACAGTCTGTTTCTCTGTGAAAAGCTGATGTTAGCTGGATATTTTTGGGCGATGGACCACTCTCAACCTGGCAGTGTTTGAAACCCCAGCAACACTGCTGTGTCTGATGCACTTGTACCATGTCAAGAGTGGTCAACCCTCCAAATAATATCTGGTCAACAGCAGCCCTGTGGTCAGAGAGAAGAATAGGGTAGAGGGCATTGGACAAATTGTGCATGACAGCAGTTGAGCTACAGTCTGTAACTGTACACCTACAGAGTAAACCAATAAAGTGAGTGGAGCTCAAGTGGTCAACGAGTGAAAGCACAAGGCAGGTGTTTCTATTAAAGTTGGTGGATATCTGACAATTATCACATGCAAACCCACAGTGAGTACTCCCACAACAAAGGAAATGAAGCGAAGTTGCTCACCCAGAGTCTGATGAAACTCACCCGACACCGGGGTCATGGGGGTGGGTGGCAGGCTGTTGATGTTGAGCGCCCCCATCTGGTGGATCTGGGTGGTGGGGAAGGCCACACTGGGCGTCAGGTAGCCTCCATGACTGGCAGCCATGAGGGCTGCCTGCTGCTGCATCAGCTGCCAAAGAGAGCGAGAGAGAAAGAAGTTACTGGAAGGGAGCAGCCTATATGGGCGAATGATGGATGGGTAGTGCTCGGCAGAGTTGAGGAGAAAGTGGAGCGGAAAAAGAGAGAAAAATGTGTCAACCTATGTTTAGTGAAAGCGTCCATCTTCCTAGTCAGGGAGCTGTCACGAGCCTCTAGAAACGTTTCAGTAGCTGTCAGCCCTGCTCTTTCTAATGGAGGAATTGACATGCATATTCTTGTAGTCCTTAAGCGACCTGAGAGTTCACAGCCAAATAACTGAATTGTATTCATCTTTCCATTTCAAACTTCAGGGTAATGCTTTCTTAATGGTGGTGACTGAATCCCGTCTTTGTCATTTCTCTTTTACTGTGTGGCAGCTCTTGTCAAGAACAGCTGCAGGTCTTGCAGGTTCTTCTGATGTACAACAAATGACTTTAACATCCTGTCATCAGCGCTGTGAAGGAGATCATGTTATGGTACAAAGTTTCAAGGAGAACGTGTGGTATTGTCATGACCAGTGTCACTGTATCTATTTCAGAAACGGACAAATAGTTGATAATGAGCTCCATCTGGGTAGGAATGTAAAGGTGTAGGCGGTCAAATGGACGACTCCCATTGTGTCCTATTATTAGTTTAGTCCCCTGTTGCGAAACAACTGACACAAATACCCATCCTGCCACTTTAGCCAGCAATAATCCAGCATCCTTTCCTCCTCGCAGGCCGGATGCTAATGACAATATTGCTAGGTGCATGCCGCTGTGCTCCATGCTGTATTTGCATGGAGTCCCTGGATGGGAAAAAGCCAATTATTTTCCCTCAATGCCCCTGTCAGGTAGGCTGAAAGCGGCTGTCCCGCTACAAACCGCCAGCCGCTGGCACCTCATCCATAAGCTCCCCCTGCTTCGCCTGCGCTATCTATTAACTCCTTCTGTCATTTGCATAATTCTATCAACGTGACCAATGAGGATCATCCGTTTTGCGGCGAGGAAGATGAATTGAGCTTTTTAGGTAAAGAGAGGAGAAACGAACAAGAGGGAGCTAAACAAAAGCTTAACGACACAAGAAAGAAGAATACACAATAGGTAAAGGGGCATCTGAGGGCCATGACGGTTAGTGTAGTATAAGGGCAAGTTGACACATTTAACAAGTTTAGGCTATGTTTAGGGTGAGATGGTCTTATCTCCTCTCTCTCTCTCTCTGTCTGCGTCCGTCTCTCGGCCTTCAAAACCTCAGTGTCACAGTAATCAGGACCTATTGTGCCCATCTTATGGCCTGGGCATGCAGGCTGAATGGGACTTTCAGAGTTAAGCTGACTGAAGCGAGCCGGGTGCCAGCTTGCTAATGCTTTTTTTAAAAGCTAAAAGGACAGGCCTTGGGCAGAGCACAGAGCAAAGCTGAAGGCTTCCACATTCTAATTTCTCACCACGCGCAGCTTGGCTAATGTCCCTTTTCATGGCAGCCACCAGATTGCTTCAGATAACAACGCAGCGTTCCGTTCTGCTCTTTAGGAATTAAAACACAGCAAATTGGAGGCTCAAGCATGTAATTATGTCGGGGGGGAAGTGAGCAACATCGATTCGTTCTTGCGAGAGGAAGAGGGAAGGAAGAGGAGGTAGGGGGAGAAAACAAAGGTCCATCGACTGACTGCGCTGACAAGACTATTCAAAATCTCCCAAGCAATTTCTCCGCTTTCACCCAAATCTCGCTCATACATCCAGAAAGCCATTCTTCTACTTTACTGAGCTTCTCCAATAGAAAGCAACTGTCGGCTTCCACAGAAAGAGGGACCAAATTGCCTTCAACTGAGTCTTCATCATCAGGGTCATAACCTTTCCTTCCTCCAGAAGGAGGGGAAAAAAAAAAAACGTAGGGTGAGGATGCGGGAAGAAGTTGCCCCGGCGACGGCACTCTTTAGTGTCAGGCATCTGTTTTTTTATTGCCGGGCTGATGGCATTAGTTTCCCCTGGTGCCAGCAGGCAATCACCTCTTTATCACACGGCAATTATCCAGCCAGCCGCGCTGCGTGGCTCCCATACCTCTGCCTGAATCACATGTGACCTCTCCGAGGCAGTCCAGTCCAGGTGGCACAGAAAAGCAAGGGACGGGTGGAGAGATATTTATAGAGAGGAAGAGAGGGAGAAATGGAGAAAGCTGCATGCGAAGACCCTGGTTATTAAGGTCCCCAGCCTTGCTGATTGTCTGGACCTGCTTTCACTCTCTGGATGCTCAGAGTGCTGAACATCTTCAACTGTAGCAGCTCTACACCAGAGATTTAGACTATGTGAAATGCAAGCATATGTCATTCGCCCACAAACTACTAGAATTTACTTATAGTCTTAAAATAACGGTGTCAAAAGGGCTTATTTGGAGTGATACTGAAGAAAAGCCACTTTTGTATCCTTACAAAATCTTTAAATGGATAGTTCTTTTAAATAACTTTACCTTTTTCATTACAGTTAGCAATAACTAGCATAACTAGCTGTCAAAGTGAGCTGTAACTAGCATAACTGGCTTTAGTAAAATAATTTCAGATTAAAAAGATTCAGAATTGTATTTTAAGTAAAATTACACCTTGAATATAATTGGTTTGTTAGACATTTTTCACCATTGCTTGTGCTAGCTAGGCTAGTCTTGCTAACTGGAATGAAGTTTGCTAGTCACAGACTACTTTAGATTAGCCTATGTCCCTATTTTACACTCGGCTTGTGCTGGAAATATCGGTCAGACTAATCGTGCTATCTTCACTCGCTGGTCAAACTGCCTTACTCACTTTATCTAACCTGCACTGACTGACTGACCACTGATTAGCCAGCCTGGCTTACTTAGTAATTCTTACTCATTTTCTTATGCTAGTCCATGTGTTCTGTCTGAATCGAAACCCACTTTGTCCTGCTGCCTCAGTGTGTATGTCAGTGAATGACCTTATTTTTGTCTCATGATGTGTATCAAATATTTTGTAATGTAAAGTGCAGTAATATATAAGTATATGAGTCAGATCTCTTGGGATTTCAGGCAGCTTTGTGATTTATGCCACATGATCTTAGTTGTTTTAGTTTGTTTTTACCCCAAAAATTCAAAAAACAGGCTGATTTTGGCTGTATTTGTTTGCTTCAAGGCTGTTGATGATTGTAGTATGACCAACAGGGGGCGATGTTGGTCAGTAGGAGAGCACAGCCCTGTCCCCCTCCCCAAAATACCAAAACAAACACTCCCCTCATTTATACTTGGTCTTGCAGCGTATTAAAGTGCTTTCAAGTAATTTGTGTGTCATGTGAATCTAATGCGTCGTCTCTCACAATTGCCGTCAACTGAAATAGGCATCTTTCAGTGCCGTGCCATCTCCCCATGCTCTTATTCACATCCCTCCAAAAAAAGTACCAACCGAAAATGGCTGCTTATAGAAAAGGCACGAGATCAAACACGAGAGACAGTAAAGAGACGAGAGAAGAAACGCTTTTAAAAGATATACAGCAGGGTGCCTAAAAGCAAATTAACGTTTCTCTCTTTCATCATGCGCTCGTGACACCGTTCCAAGAACGGAGAGAGTCACATTTGATATTTGGAACGTGTCTCTGTGTATCCTTGTGCCACAGGATCATAAGCTGATTGCCAGGTAGAGGAGAAAGGTGCACCTTTCAGGAAAAAAAGCCCCGTCTTTTGGCACCATATTGTCAGTACTGTTGCCCGATGCCCCTCCAATTTGTTTTTGCAGCCCCCCTCCTCAGCTTTGACTAAAATCCAATTTGCTGGCTGTCAACTCAGCCCACTAATCCTCTGCACAGCTGTGTTTGTGAAGGAGCTTCCTAATTTGCTCATCCTCAATGTGTGATTCTGAGAGCACCGTAGCCGCACATATCTGTTTCTGAGTGTCGCGCTGATGTGCTGCTGACGTCTTATTGGGGGTATATATATGTACATGTGCCGTGCAGTTTGGGAGGTGAAATCCTTCTTTATTCTGATGAGCCTAAGCAACAGCAGCAGAAGACTTACTGATACGGTCTAATTCAGACAGTGGACTGGGATCATGAACAACAATCTGGTTACCAAACAAAACCCAACTGCTAGAAGGCAGGCTAATGGAATAATTTAGCACAATATCAAGTTTACATAGTTTTACCTTAATGATCCACCAAGAAGGTTTGGTGTCTTAAGTTTGTCTGTAGTTTTGTACTATAGCTAAGAGGCTAATGTAGGTAACAAGCAATGTAGCTAAAAAAACATACCACAGCAATTAGCACCACGAAACTGCATGTATAAATCTTGACACACTTAGCTAGTTGCATTATTAAGTAATTTCAGATTTAGGCGGCTGTTATGGTGTCGAGTTTGTTTCTGTAGTTTTGTACTATAGCTATGAAGCTAATGTAGCTAACAAGCAATGTAGCTAAAAAAAACGCACAACAATTAGCACTGTATAAATCATGACATACTGAGCTCATTGCATCATTAAGTAATCTCAGATTGAGGTGGCTATTATCTATAAAAGATGAGCACAGATACGTAGCATAGCTAAAACAGCAACAGCCATCTTGAAGACTGTTGTCTGTACTTTTGTCCTTTTTATAGATAATGGTCATTTTCAGTGTATGGTGATTTAAGAATGCTGTTTGCGCGTTTTATTTGTTCCCTGTAGAGGATGAGTTAACTTACTTCATTTAGAAAATCAACAAAACATCATTTTGCCAGGGATGTTATATGCTATACATAGAGGAGGCTTTATGACCGCACATTTTTGAGAACCCCAAACTGAAAACACGTCTCGCATCCCTCGGTTTCAATGCAGTTTTTCGCTGGACAGTTCCTTTAAGTGCAGTTTTCTGAATGTGGCGCGATTAAACGAAGTTTACTTTGAACTCTGGAACTTAAAAAACGATGATGCATGTTCATGATCCTTCAGCAGCACTTTAAATTTAGCATGTTTTTATATAGTTGTGTACACAGATATTCATATTTCTCTGTCAAAACTTGGCAGGAAGTGTGTATAATATCATATGGCAGACTGCGCAGGGTGTGTGGGCAGAGGTTCTGTCTGGAACGCTGAGGCATGGAGATGCTGTCAGAGCCAGAGACCCGCACACTGCACGCTTCTCTGACACAACACATAAAAGTCACTGCCTACCTGTAGGAGCCACAATGGCTGCCCTGCCTGCCTGCCGCTCTCGGACATTAGCATTTCCCACATTTCCCACGGACAGCCCGCATTTCATGAATTGTAATGAGAGTGGTTTTATTATTTATTTATTATTTTTCTTTTACTATAGAGAGCCGGCCTGGTAATTACTGTAGGGCTGTCTGTTTGTGTAGCACTGCCTCCCGAAAGCTTGTGATATGGAAATGAGGGTGATGGATATGGCCATAGAGTCCCTGCCGCATCGTCCTGTTCATTCTAATTCAATGCTAATATAAGATTCAATGTCTACACGTTCCTATTCCAAGTACAAAACACATAAACTACTGATCAAAAAGTTTGGAATCATTTAGGAAAAGGGGAATTCCACTGAAATTTCTGCATAATTTAGTCTTTTAGATGTACACCATGCAGTTAGATGTGAAATGCTCCTTTCTAGAGAAAAGAATTGTTCACAGTGCTGGTGATAGGAACGAGACATCTCAAGCCTTTAATGTCTGTAAAAGCTCCCTCACCGAAAGCTGCTTTTACATGAAATGATGATATAAATACTGCTACATTGTTTTATGATGGCTTTGAAATAAGCTGTTTTCACGCAGGCCCCAAAGAATCCATATATGTTCAGGTTTACTACTATTTTACCATCGTCAACATTAGATATAAGACATGTAGGCTCACTGGTCTTGTTGGGTAGCAAGTAATATGGCAATATTTGTTTTGTAGACCCCTGTTTCCTATCACCCCCACTGTAAAGAAATCCATATCAGTATCTCTACAGTGAACCATTTCACATCAAAGCACTCTGAATGAGTTTGTTTATATCTCCACCACTGAACTATGCAGAAATTTTCATTTTAATAATTGTTGTCAGACACTGATGTTGGATCAGAGAGCCTGGCTTGCAATCTAAATTCTTGTTCATCCCAAAGGTGTTCAGTGGGGTTAAGGTCGGGACTCTGTGTGGGCCAGTCAAGTTCTTCCACACCAGATTCACCCAGTCATGCCTTTATGGACCTTGCTTTGTGCACTGGGGCTCAGTCATCCTGGAACAAGATTCTTCCCCAAACTGTTCCCACAGAGTTGGAAACATACAATTGTCCAAAATGTCTTGGTTTGCTGAAGCATTAAGATTTCCCTTCACTGATACTAAGGGGTCACAGCAACCCCTGAAAAACAACCCTATATCATCATCCCTCCTCTACCAAACTTTACACTTGGCACAATGCAGTCAGGCAGGAAATGTTCTCCTGGCATTCACCAAACCCAGACTCGTCCATCAGACTGCCAGATAGAGTAGCGTGATTCATCACTCCACAGAATACGTTTCCACTGCTTCAGAGTCCAGTGGCGGCATGCTTTACACCACTCCATCCGACACCTGGCATTGTGCATTTTGATCTTAAGCTTGTGTGTAGCTGCTCGGCCATGGATCTCATTTCGTGAAGCTCCTAAAGTGCAGTTCTTTTGCTGATGTTGCTTCCAGAGACAATTTGGAACTCTTCAGTAAGCGATTCTACAGAGGATAGATACTGTGCGCTTCAACACTCGGTGGCCCCGCTTTGTTTGCATGGTCCAGCGCTTTGTGGCTAAGCTGTTGTTGCTCCTAGACACTTCCATTTCTCAATAATAGCACTTACAGTTGACATGGGCAGATCTAGCAGGACAGAAATTTCACAAACTGACTTGTGGCAGAGGTGGCATCCTATGACAGTGACACATTTAAAGTCACTGATCTTATCAGTACGACCCATTCTATTGCCAGCGATTGCAAGGCTATGTGATTTTATTCACCTGTTAGCAATGGGTGTGGCTAAAACACCTGAACTCAGTAATTCTGAGGGATGTCCCAATACTTTTGTCTATATAGTATGGGTGTATATGTGGTAATGCAAAAGGTAACTAGTTTTCAAAATTTGCAAAAAAAAGTATATACAAGAAAAATGGGGATGCAAAGTTTTTGTGTGACAGCGAAGAGATTCTGGATTCCATTCAGGATATTATTTCTATTATAAATTCAATCTTTGTAAATTCTTATGGAGTCATGTACAGTGAATATGTCCTTTCAGCATCACTGTATGCATTGTACACGTGTCTGTGTAGTTAGACTGAAATTCTGAACCAGCTTCTGATCTTCCACAATTCTTCTTCTTCTTCTTTCATCTGAAGGATCTTAGCACGCAGGCTAAAAATACATGATACGCGCTCCTACGGAATACTCTGCGTCATCCCTGGCCGGTCGTGAGCTGAGCAGACGCAGGGGAACGCAAGAGAGTGTGTGGGCAGTTGGAGCGTGGGCCGGGATGAGCTCAGCGCTGGGCACTGGTCAGGAGGGATTAGGGCACTCACCGCGTGTGCGTAGCTGCTGTAGGTGCTGAAGGGCAGGGCGATGGCCGGGTTAAAGATGCCGAACTGGCCCACCATCTGCTGCATGCGCCGGATGGTGCGCTCCTTGTCCGTGTCAGCAAACTTGACCACCAGGCTGGACGAGGCGCCCTGAAGGGGAAGCAAAGGCGGCGCGTTACGTTTAACCTGATTTTCGCAGCCCTACAGAGCTTACCTGCTATTCAGCAGAGCAGTTAGTGTCAAGTGATGCACAGTCATATTTAACAGCCAGAAATAAATAATACAGGCATAACATTTCAAAGTAGAAATGCTGGTGGATAGAAGGTGGTAGTGTTACATGTAAGTGAAAAGGAATATTCACATGAATGCATAGTTGTAGCAAAACTCTGTCTCAATTTAATCCCAGTTTGTGTGGCTATTTATTTAACAAGGCCAGACTCAATCTCAAACATATAACCATGTAACCTTTCAGCTTCAATGTAGCTAAATCTGATCCTTCTACATAACATTTTAAGTCTTTAGCCTCGATGAGGCTTAACACCACTTGTTAAAAGTCATAAGGATTAGAAACGTATGTAGCTGTGATTTGAGACTGACGTGGCCACCACTAGGCGTGCTCCCTGTCTGACCCTGCAGAGCCCACTGCTAAGCCTGTCTTTTTCATTCTAGTCCATGCTGCAATGAAGAAACACCTGCTGCATGAGCCTCTTACATCCATTACAAACCTCGTAGCGATTCTACTTGACCTTTATCAGCGCGGACTGGCCCTCTTATTCCTGCATCCTGCATCCCCACCCAGAAATGAGATGGGCAGGGCGCTTATACATACAGTTCTTTTGAAATGAACTTAACTCAGTTCTGTTAAAGTGAACCTTAAAAGAAACCAGAGGCTTTTGTCTTCACAATGTGGGCACAGTTTAAAGGGGACTCTCCTTATAGTCCTCTTTAACAGTGATGAGATCTCAGACTCCTTTAGAACTCCTTTAGAACTCCTACCTCACTTGGGTTATGCTGAATTATGGGTAGTGTTGTACCATCAGATAACAGATCTGTTAGCTGAGCAACATTCGATGGCAATGCTGCAAAGCTATTAATAACCATTACACTAATAATTGGCTAAGAGAGACCCCTCTTCTGTTACTCAGTCGAAAATATTTAGGATGCTTCCTCTTGATTGACTAGCTGCAGTTATTATATAATAATATGGTTTATATAATAATTACAGAAAAGATTTGAAGACCATTCATACAACATCTGCTTCCTGAACTCAGAGATATTATATTAAAAGGTCAAAACTATTTAGAATGGAAATCCCCTCTAAGTCCTTGGCATGTAGCATAGATGGGGACCTAATGAAGTGAAGTGCATTATAAGTTAGGGTTAGGGTTAGGGTTAAAATCACTTCGCGATTTTAGTAAATTGTGAAGAATGTGGGGTGTTTTTTTCTTTCTGTCCTTCATTTTTTTTTTCTTTATGAGGATGGCCTTTATGAGGATGGCCTAGGGGATATATATTTTTTCTATGTTATCACTGTAACACTCACTGCTCATGAACATACACTCACTGACCCCTTTGTTTCTACAGTCAGTGTCCATTTTTATCAGGTCCACTTACCATATAGGATTTTGTAGATCTACAGTTAGAGACTGTAGTCCATCATTATCTCTGTATAATTCATCCCGTTCATCAAAGGTCAGGACCCCCACAAGACCAGGTAGAGCAGGTATTATTTGGGTGGTGGACAACAGCACAGCAGAGGCACTGACATGGTGGTGGGTGTCGTGGTAGTACGAGTGGATCAGACACAGCAGTGCTGCTGGAGTTTATAAACACTGTGTCCACTCTATAACACTCCCACCTGGTTGGTCCACCTTGCAAATGTAAAGTTAAAGCTGATAGCTTATCTACTGCTGCATAGTTTGGGGTAGTCATCCTCTGATGCTTCAGCAGTTTCTGACCATAGGACACTGTTGGCTGGATATTTTTGGTGGACATAGTGTTTAAATACTCCAACAGCACTGCTGTTTTGGATCCAACACCCACCACCATGTTAGTGCCACTGCTGTGCTGTTATCCACCACCCAAATAATACCTGCTCTGTGGTGGTCCTGTGGGGGCCCTGATCATTGATGAGAAGGACAAAGTATGCAGAGAAACAAATGGACAACAGTCTGTAATTGTAGAACTACAAAGTGCTCCTACATGGCAAGTGGACCTGATGAAATGGACAATGAATGTAGATATAAGGTAGGTGTCCCTTATAAAGTGGCCTGTAATTCGTGGAAAAAAAAACAATGGTAACACATAAGTTCTAATGTCTTATTGCTTTAATATACCTCTTTATAAGAAAGATGTTCAGCCGCTCAGCTGTTCTCCCGTTTAGTTCTTCTGTGTAGTTTGTTTTTAAGTACTGGAGGGCTGTAGCTGTGTATGTGCCGGTGAGCACTGAGGTTCCTAAAGTATGATGCAGACTGGGGCAGATTTGTTATCACAATGCACGAACCAGACCACAAGGCGAACCACAGACGACTTGCACTGAGGAAGGTGATCTGTGTTTGGTTCATTTATGGGTCCATTTAGAGGGGTATTGTATTTCACAAATACAAATGAATGACTAAGATCATGCTGAAAGTATGAAAGTACGGAGCCCTGCTGATGACATCCTGTATAAATAAAAATAATGCGTGGTCACACCATATTAACACGTGGGAATGCGATCCTAATGTGTGGCCACAATTTAGTAAGTTGTGGGAATGAGATAATTAAGTTGTGGCCACGACTTAGTAAGGCATAAGAACGAGATCATACTTTATTAAGCCATGGCCAAGGCTTAATGATCTCATTCCCATGCCTTACTAAGACGTGGCCACGCATTAAGATCTCGTTCCCATGCCTTACTAAGTTGTGACTACGACTTAATTGTCTAGTTCCCATGCTTTACTAAGTCGTGGCCATGCATTATTGTTATTTATACAGTGTATCACCAGCAGGGCTCTGTATGAAAGTGCTCTCAATAAAATGTGTTTTTATTTACTTGGAGTATTCTGCCATTTTCATTCAAAATGTATTCCAATCTTATTTCCATTGCCAAAGCAGACATCACATTATTGGGCCAAAAAATGTTCAACAGCAGATTTTTGGTTGCGGACTAAATTATGAGTACAGCATTTACACAGTACAGACTCCAAAGGTCTTCCACAAGATCAGAAATTTAGAAAGTCATTTTGGATGCAAGCAACTTTTCAATGATCTGAAACACACCAGCCATCTTTTGAAAGAATACTTTGCCAAAAAGAAAATGTCTAAAATAAATAGCCACTTTGTTTGACGTTTCTTAACACAACAAATGTAATACTTTTTTAAACATGGCACAATGTCCAAATACTTTCTGGGGCCACTGTATTTCATCGCCTTGGTTGAGGAATGTATTGCTTGTACCTGATCCCAATGAAAAGGCTTAAATTTGGCAGTGATCTGGCAGGAAGACATCAGCTGAGATAAGCCTCTCACTGAGATTGATCTGAGTCTGTCAATAGCCACTAAGGTGATGGGAGATGTGAGGGAGGAGGGATAAGAGCTTTGACAGGCTCTGCTTGCACGCTGTGGTATGCACGGTTTTCAGTGAAGTCCAACACAAGGCAACTAATCTAAATGGATCAGGCCTCTGTGCTGAATATTGAGGTCTGTAGGCATTAATTTGCAAGCTATATTAATTACAGCACATACACCGCCCTATCCTTAGGAATCCTGACGGTAAACTGATCTGGAATCGGCTCCTCAAATTGAGATCATTTGAATTTGACAGGCCAAAAACTGATCCCAGATCAGCACTTCCTTTTAATGTTCTCTCACGTCTCCCAGAACAAATAATCAGAAGAGGCTGAAAACGTGTCGATCATGTCTCATTTTTCATCAAAGCTAAGCCCCAAAAACTGTTTTGTATTCATTGTAGTTGTGACTGTGTTTATATATGAATGCCCCTTCAGCTTACAACAAGTTTATTGCAAGTTTAATTCAGACTGAAGTGATAAGGAGTGTTGTTACTGCAGACAGAGCTACTGGAGGGAGAGGTAACTAAACAATGCGCTGTTAATGGCTGTCAGGAAACAATTATTACTGTCTTGGGCAACCTTTGCAGGACATGTACGCTCACAAAGACAATCAGCGTATGACATAAACACAGTTTATGCTCTGTTTTGACTGCTATACTCTCTCTCTCTTTCTGCTCATCTGGGTAGGGCAGCATAGTTAGTAGTACACAACTGTACATGACCATACATCAGAAAGACAGAGAGTACACTTATTCTTTCTTGACTGTATAATATGGACAAAATATCATATTGAGATTATATATTGGTGCATATTGTGATTGTGATATGCCTTGCAATAAAAACAGTGGTAACTGCTATCAAGTGGTCTAATGGTTAAAGCATATTACTGAGCTATCGTAGCTACCCATTAGTTATGCATGCTAAATTACAAAGAGGTTAAAAAGAGGTTTAATAAAGATGTTAAGAGGTCCAACTGCCATGCCCCCAACACAATAAGCCTCAGTGTAAATGCCCCACTTACATGGCTGGTATTTATGCCACTGATTAAAATCATATTGATGCCACTCATGACATTGTTAAGCCTCATTAAATTAACAGAATTCACAATTTGATCATTTTAGCTTTTCCATCCATCAGTGTTCTCTTACTACAATACCCCACATACATCAAACAACCACTGGGAATAACCCCCCCCCCATTGCCTAAAAGAAATGCACTGATGTAAAGGCTAGTAAATACTGACCTGAGTTTAGATACTGAGTTTAGTGCCCTAGCAGTAACATCAGCTACGCAACACCTTCTGTTTAGGCCAGCTAGCAGAAAGAAATTTCAAACAGCCAGTCTTCATGTATCAGCCCCAAAGTGCATGTAGTTTTTCCAAAGTTGCTTTCACCTTCAAGATACATCATCATAAAGGGGTTTTCCTAGTCAATAAAATGGAAAATCTCACTCATTAGATCATTGTGGCACTAAGTGAATAGATATGTTTACAACAGATATATCAATGGTAACATTTTTCATTTTGGCCAATATGCCCCTTTAAAGCATTATTTTGGTCATAATTATTTGCATTTCTTGGGTGTCATGAATGCCTTGATT